GGATTAAATGAGATAACGAATATATTCCTAGTGTTAATAGCTTAAATCACTTGACAAGTCCATTTCTTTTTTTTTTTTTGGCTAGGCAATGGGGTTAAGTGACTTGCCCAAGATCACACAGCTAGTAAGTATCATGTGTCTGAGGCCAGATTTGAACTACAGCCCTCCTGAATCCAGGGCTGGTGCTCTATCCACTGAGTCACCCAGCTGCCCCCGACAAGTCCATTTCTAAGGTACTTTCTGGCACTGATTTGATGATTTCTATATTCAAGAGTTGGGGGAAGAAAACAGTGATGACAAAAATTAATGCAATTCCCTTATTCTAAATTAAAATGTACACCTACATGTTTGGAGCTGTGCTATTGGGGATACAAAAGAAGCAGTAATGAAAGCAAGAAATAACACGGGTAGGAATTAGATCGTGGTTAACAATGAGACTGTAATGCAAAAAAAAAAAAAACAAAACAAAACAAAAAACAAAACCAAAAACAAAAACCTATAGATCCACACATATATAGAAGGACAGAAGAGTGTGCATCTAAAAAGAAAAGTGCCAATATTTCAAGTCTGGAGAAGTGGAAGGATGGTGGTGATGTTTCAGGCATCAGGAAAAGATACAGCCCCAATTTCTACACTGTACCAGCAACAGCTCTGCCACCAAGGAAGTCTCCATGAAGTTTCCATTTCAAACAAAATGTCAGAGTCAAGATCCGAGTTTTTCAGGTTACAGGTGAACATTATCCAACAAAGTGATTTTTTTTTTAAATCCTAACTTACAAGCACTACCAAGAGTTGATCCAACTCTAATGAGAGAGTACTATATATTCCTTCCAAACCTGTTATTAGTTCTCTTATCACATAAATGATCTTGAACTCAGGGCAGTTACAGAATAAGGTACATGACATTTGACCCTACTTACTTTGAGTCAATAGAAAGGAGCCTCGATTGAAAATGGAAGGAAACATCAGTTAGCATTGTAACTTCACTGGTACTCAATTTATTACAGCAGAACTGCTGAAGTAGAAGGTCTGTCAACATTTCCATTATAAACTTCTATTTTCAGAGTCTTATAACTCAACCATAATAATTCACTCTGGGCTAAAGCCGGGTGTCAGGCTGTGAAGGACTTTTATTTATTTAATAATTCTAAGTGAATTTTTCACACTTGTAAAACTGACACATGTGTAGCCTTGGCAGCTGTCGTCCTCTACATATCCAGAGGACAAGGGCATACAAATGGAAAGTTCACTTTTGGGAATTCACAACAGGGCTTCTTGACCCAAATCTGACTTACTACCTGTTTGACTATGGGCAAGTCACTGTCTGAGCCTGTTTTCTCATTTGTAAAATGAAGATAACATCTCTAACACCTACTTCAACTAACAGGGTTTTTGTGAGGCTCAAATTAGATAATATTCAGGTTAATAGACTCAAGAGCTGGAAGGGATCTTAGAGGTCATTTGAGAAAAACATATTACAGTAGGAAAAGCACTAGATTCAAACCTCATGGGTGTTACTTGGTACCTGCACAACCATGGGACCGCTTACCTTCCTCCATTTGTAACATTATGGGATTGGGCTACATATAACTTTTTAAGGTCACTTCCACCTCTAAGGCTATGATCCTATTATCTACTTCAATTCCCTCCCTCCTCTTTTCCTTTTAACAAATAAGGAAACTGAACCAAGCAGCAGAGAGGTTAAGTGACATTCACTCTCCTCTATCTCCAAGCCCAGGGCTAAGCACTTTGAAAAATTTAAAGCATTATTTAAATTCAATTATTTCGCCATCCTATCCTACTGCTAAAACCATAAAGGGAATGGCTAGTTAGCTTTTATAAATGACCATAACCAACTTTCTTTGGGGATAAAAAGAAAATACAAGATACTACAACTCCCCACAACTGAAGAAGTGCTTACATCTGTACTTCAGATTCACTGAACGGATAGCTAATTGAAGGGTTTTAGCTTTTCAGACAATCTTTTTTTTTTTTAATCTTCATATTTTGAAGGCTTAATGAGCTGGTGTCTTCGGTAAAATGCAGAAATTACACTGTGAATAGAATGACAGGTTTGGTTGGGTAACGTGTGTCATTGATTAAGAGGTGGAGTCATTCTACTTACACAGTTATTAGATTCACCATAAATCAGCACTTAAGAGGTTATACTAGTGTTTAATAAAGTGACTTTTCAAAAGAGCTTAGGAACCAGAGCTGAATTTATGCCACCTCTGGAAAGACCAGGAATGAAAGTGGTTCAAAAGTATGCTGTATCCGCCTTCTCCACTCAACTTCTATTACAAGGCTCATTACAGATTCAGGTTGGCCAAAGGTCAAGTCAGTCAGGAAGCTAGTGTAATACAAAGCAAATAGGAGTAAGGACCTGGGTTCAAACCTAAGCTTAGGCAAGGCACTTCAGAAACTGTCAGCCACAATTCCCTCATCTGTAAATTTATAAAAAAAAAAAATATGGACTGAATGAGCTCTAAGGTCCAACCCTAAATTTTCTGATCATCCCTAAATATAAGTTCCACATACTATTGACACACCAAAACCCCATCTAATATTTCAATTACCATCCCATTAGATTGTAAGCTCTTGAGGGCAGGAACTGTCTTTTGTCTTTTTTTTGTATCCTCTGCACTTAGCACAGTGACTGGCATGTAGTAACCTTTAATAAATGTTTATCGACTGATCAATGGGTCTATGCAGAACAAACACTGCTTTGGTTAAGATGGCAGCAGGAAAACAGCTTATAAAATTATGCCCTTCAGAAATGAAGGCTTCTGGGTCTTGCTTTTTGGGAGGCAGCTAATAAAGGTGGGTATTGGTCCCTTGTTATGCTTTCCCCCTAAAGCATCATACAGGGATTCCACTGCAGTGATACAAGAATTCCTACCAAAACCACATTAATTTTGCCTTCATTTCTAAACCTTAATGGCAGGAAGAGGCAAACTAATGTTTTATTTTATATTTATTTAAATTTAAAACTCATATTTTATTTTTTGACTCCCCACCTTAGAGAATAGATCTATCATCCTTTTGTAGCAGACTATATTCTCATGACCCAATTTTCCCTTAAAAGACAAATTTTGGGAAGTCAGCAGAAGATCGAATACAAATAGTGTTAGAATGCAATTTTTTAAAATGGCACCTTCCCCCTCCCCTAATCACTTTCCTCCACTTAAGGTCCTCTTTCTAGGAACGCTCCCCCAGTTCCAGTCCTCAGTCTTCTCAGGCCAAGAAGCCACAGAGCTCTGGACAGAAGTTTTGCAAAGGATAAGAGAGGGTTAGTGCAAGGGGCATCAGGTTTTTGAATGTTGACAAGGGCTTGAATTCCCTACTCTTGGACATATGGCCCAGCCTGGCCACACATTTTCAAAGACATCAAACTAACGATGCTATTGGGTCAGCAAATTAGGTGAACCCATCCAAAGGAGATAGCTCAGCTGTAGAGGTCAGAATGACCTGCTCCAGGATAATGCATCAGGCACGTGCTATATAACTTTCCCACTAGATGCACACACCAGCGGGAAGGAGCTGCAAGAAGCTCCCTCCCAAGTAGAGCAATGCTTTCTGTAACTAATGTTTCAAGGTGTCTGACTAAACCCTCAAAAGCAAGCGAGTGTTAAAGCTAACACTCTCGGCTTCAGCAGGGCAGACAAATGTGTCCCTAAGGAAGCCACCAGCCTCAACAGGAGACAACAGGAGCTCAGCTCCACTCCTAGTCGGCGCTGGGTGTTAGGTGAAAATCCTACAGACCCGGATCAATAAAGTCAACAAGGCGCAATCGACTAAGTGCCTACTGTGTGCCAAGCACTGAGCTAAGTGCAGGGAATACAAAGAGAAAACAGTCCCTGCCCTCAAGGAACTCACAATCGAAAGGGGAAGAAAACATGCAAACAACTGTACAAACAAGATACAGAGAGAGGAACACCTCCAGTATATAGCCCCAAGGCAACCTAGAGGAGGTGGTTGAGTTTTCACCTCCCACTGTCTGGTCCCTTCCCTTTGCAAACTCAAGCTAGTTCACCCCGGGAGCAAAGACCCACAGCTTCCTGGACCTAGGGTGGAGGGCGATGAGGGAGGTTGGGGCCAAGGCTGCAATCGCCCAGGAGAAGCTCCCCCTCCTGCCATCCCCAGGACCACTCTCCCGCTCTCAGCTCCTCTCTCGCAGGATAAGGAAAGAAAGAGGGAGAAAAAGGCCTGTCCAGACAGCCCATCCCTTTTCTCCCGGGCAGGGAGTGGTGGGTCTGGGGTACGAAAGGCGCCCGGGCTGTTAGAGCCGGATCCCGCGCGGCGGGCTGCAGCGGCAGCCCTGCCTCCTCCCCCCTCCCCGGAGCGCGCGCGCAGCGGGGGGCGCCGGGCTGCGAACGTGAGCCCGGGAATCTGGGAAGCGGGACGCGACGGCCAGCTAGGGGCTCGGCCCACGCGCCCCGGCGGCGGCAGCATCTCCCCGTCGTCTCAGGCCTGCAGACGCCGCCGCCGCAGGCCTCAGCCTGGACCAGCCTCCTGTTCGCGCCGGGGCTGGGACAGCGCAGGAGAGAAGGGTGCTGGGCGCCGGGCGGGCAGCTGCAGCCGCCAGTCCGGAATGCCCCCTTTGCCCTGACCCCCCACCCCTCCTCCAGCTAAGCTTCCCGGGTGGACGCTACTCCTGCAGCAGCAGCTCCCGGTGTCATTAGAAAAATCTGGGGGCGGGGAAGCGCTGGGGGGGGGGGGAATAAGGGGGGCGGGGCAGGGCCGAGAGGAGGTGGCGATGCTTGCACACCGTCTGGGTGTGCTCGGAGGGAGGGGTGCTACGGGGCAGTCGGGTACCCCCGGAGCTGCCCACCCCCGCCTCCACGGCTGCAGCAGTAGCACCACCTGCGGAGCTGCGGCGGACAAGCCACCCACTTTCCTAGAGCCCCCCAAACCCCTCCCCAGCCGCCAGCCCCTCCTCCCGCTACACGCACTGTACCCCCGCACAAGTTGCAGGTCCCACCCCGCCGCGGGTCACTCACCCTCATCCCGTTCATCGGGCTCAGGCCGTCAAGCCGGGGGGACAGGGATGACCAAAGCACCACCAGCCCCAGAAAGCTTCCCACTACCAGCAAACTGCGTAAGATGAACCCGATCTTCAGCCTCATCTTCCTCCGGTGGCGGCAGCGGCAGCGGCGGCGGCAGCAGCAGTAGCAGCAGCAGCAGCAGCAGCAGCGGCGGGAGACACACCAGCCCCAGCGCAGCCGCCGCCGCCACCACCACGGCTTTTTCCCTCCCTCCTCCTTCCACCCCCCTCTCCCTCCTCTAGCCCAGCTCCTCGGGCTGCACTCCTCCTCCTCCCTCCCCCTCCCTCCTCCCTTGCTACCGCTGCTGCCCTCCCCGCTCACTCCCTGCCTGCCCTTGGCAGCTCCCAGATCCGGAACTCCCCTATGCTCTCCACCTTCCTCCCTTAACTCTTTTTCCGCCTGCCACCCCCTCCCAGCAGCCCGCCCGCCGCCGCCGCTACAGCTGCTTCCCCGAGCTCTGAGCACCAACTCCTCTACTAGCTTCTGGCTCGCCGGATTTTTCTCTTCCGCCGCTCCAGCCCCCACAAACGCGACTCTCGGGGCTCTGCGCCGACGCACCCCCGCCAACCTCCTTCCCGAGCCGTGCCAAGCTCTGCCTACCCTCGACCCTTCGCCTCCAGCCCCCTTTCGCCTCCACTGTGCAGAGCCGACCCTCCCTCCTAGCTAGCGGGCGGACTCCCCAACCTCACGCACCCCACTCTCCCGGCCCCTTTCTGCCCCCCACCCCAACTCCTCTTTCCTTGGCGTCTGGCTCTGACACAGCCTTAGCCCCGCGCCTTTTTAGTTTCTCAAAGCTACACAAACTTCCTCCCCTCCCTTCCCCACCCTACCCCACTTCTTAGGATTATTAATAACTTCTTAAGAGAGAAGCCACTGGTTTTCGGTTTCCCCTGTTTTAACATTGAGGGCTAGCCCACTCTGGGCTATAACCTTCCCTATAGTAACCCAGCGCCCCAAAACCCCAACAGGGAAGACCTGAAACCAGGAAGTCTAGAGCAGCTGCAGCGGCAGCAGCTCCACGTGGCTGATTTATAGCCCCGAGGATTTTTTCTTATTGATTGTTCTCGCTTTTTCACCCGGCTCCTTAAGGAGGTGGATTTGTAACTGAAAGGCCCAGGTGAGTTGTGCAAATATGAGACTGCCAGTGCTCGCTGGAGAGGCTCAATTGTAAAACCTGGTATTTCACTTTTTCATGAGTGAGATAGAAGCAAGTCTATGTGTTCCACCATCCTCCTTTCCTTTTAAGTCACGTTCTCACAGCAAATAAAGGCAATATTGAAACTTAGCAAGTCTGGGAACTTGACTACGTTTTTATACGGAGAAATGATTTTCTAACCTCTCTTTTGCAGTCCCCCTCCCCCCTATTATTAGCCATCCCTAGCCTCGTTTCTACAACTTTTTTTTTCATTTGCTTGTTGAAAGGCTTACGTGATCAAATCTGTAGAGTGGGGGGGGGGCATGCCTTTATGTGTTCATTACAGGCCTTCAGTAAATATTACACCAAATGTCTCCACCCTAAGAAAATATTCTTTCTCCTTTCTGCACAAGCTGTCATCTTTATTATAACAGGAAGTGGCGAACAGCTCTGTCCCATATTTAGCAAAACAATACTGCAGAAACAACAATACCAACAACAACAAAAAAGACCCGAGGACAATCCGGGTAGACCTCTTTTCTGTTTACATTTACTTTAATTTAAATCAAATGAATTTTTGTTTGTTTTTTTAACTTATTTTTTAAGGCTTGGGGCAATGGTGAAAGGATTGTCAGTTCATTTAGAGGAATGGTGTTCTATAAGTGATGAGAGAAAGCATTCATTTATATCATTTATGTCGAAATATCTATATTTACATAGAGACTGATACATTTTTACATGATTAGGGAATCAGAAGTAAGTATGTTTTACTAGGCTTGCAGCATACTGAGGCTCATAGTAAAAACTGAAAAATGTGGAAATGTCTTCCAGATTGCTCAGATTAATTTGCAGTAGCAAATAAGGTCGTGGGAGAATCCCTCTACATTTTAAGCATTTTGAGGATGTCTGAAAAACTAGACTCACAAATCCATGGAATTCTTACTTTTAGAGGTAATTGAATTTTTAAAGGCCTTGTTGCCCTTGGCTTAATCAAAATTCGAACCAAAATTGTACCACTCGAAACATTTGCTATTAGTTGTCCAGGTTTCTTTCCATAATCCCACCAGATCTCTATAAATCACCTGTTCAAATGAGAATATCATTCAATTTGCATTTATGATCACTATGATTGCTTCAGCGGAGATTTCACATAAATACCCTCTTGGAGCTGTTAAGAAATTCAAACCTGGTACCACTTGGAACTAAACTGAGATAGAATACCAACTGTCAGACTAATTGACTTTGGTTACTATGAACTCAAGGTACGTTTGAACCAGTGACCCATAAATTAAAGGCTTACATATCTCATTACCAATCCCCTGAATGATTTAATCCCCTCCCCTTGGAGGATTTAGAGAAAGCATTTCTGGAAAGTATCTACGGTACAAAAAAAATTTTTTTTTCCAAGAAATACTACCATGTGGAAATAAAGCAATATTAAGGAAGGTGTAAGTACTGTGCTATAAGATTATTCATTTTATTAAGCATATACTGAATGTCTCAAAGAGGTAGATGGTGCAGGGGATGGTGCAGGTTCAGGGATAATGCCTGAAGTCAGGAAGACCTCAGTTTAAATTCACCCTCAGATACTTCCTAGCTGTGTGATCTTGGGTAAGTCACTTAACCCTGTTTGCCTCAGTTTCCTGGTCTGGAAAACGAGCTGGAGAAGGAATGGCAAACCACTCTGGTGTCTTTGTCAAGAAAACCCCAAATGGGGCCATGAAGAGTCAGACATGTCAGAAAAACGACTGAACCACAACAAGGATGTCTCAAAAGTTAGTGCAGTTTGTGGCTCTAATGCTGTAAATAGTAGCTTTAATAGTATTGACTGTCTCACAGGCATCTCAAACGCAGTATGAACAAAACAACTCATTATTGTTCCCCACAACTCACCCCTCTTCTCAACTTCCCCATTGCTTACTGAAGTAATTGCTTTTCTTCCACTCATCTAGAGTCACAGCCTTGGTATCTTCCTTAACTCCTCATTCTTCCTCACTCAGGATGTCCAATCTGATACTTGTTATTGGGAATAAGAGAATTGGAGTGCACATCTTAGCTCCATCACTACTTGAATGATAATAGGCAAGTCACTCAACCTGGGCCTTAGTTTCCTCATTTGTAAAATGAAGAAGTTGGACTGGATGACCTCAAAAGTCTCTTTTACTTTCTGGTCTACAATCCTATGAACATCTTCCCAATTGCACAGTCTCTAGGCTACTTCAGGCTCTCCTTATCTCTCCTTGCCTGGTCTGTGGCAATGGTTTCCTAATTGGTCTTCCTATTTCCAGTCTCTAAGTCATCTACGTGGCTACTGAAGTGATATTCCTTAACCACAGTTCTTGTCACATCATCACTACCCTCAAGAAACTCTAGTGACTCCCTATTGCCTTTAGGAAAAATGCAGACTCCCTTGTTAGGCATTTAAGGCCCTTCATACTGCCTTTGGCCCACCCTGCCAGGTGTATTACACATTACAGCCCTTCATACATTCTACAATGCAGCCAAATTCACCTGTGTGTACTGTATATTTGGCATTTTATCCCCATCTTCATGCTTTTATAATCCTTTCTCACTTCTGTTTCTTACAATCCCTCACCTCCTTCAAAGCGTAGTTCAGGTGCCACATTCTACCTGAAGCCTTTCCTGAACCTCCATCTGCTAGTTCCTCTCCCTCAAAATTGCTTTGTATGTATTTTGTATAAACTTAGCTGTGTATAGACACATTGCTTCCCACGATCAAACAGGTGGAGCATTTAATTTGTGTCATTGTATCCCCAGTTCCTGGTAGTAGCTTAATAAATGCCTGTTGGTTGATTGATTGGTTGATCAGAGTCATCTTTTTTCTTAGGATAGGTATATCTTAATTTAAACAAAACCAGTGCTTGGATCTGAACAAATGACAGATGACTTAATAAGTAGCATTTATATGGGCAGCTAGGTGGCAAGATTGATACAGTGCCAGGCTTGGAATCAGGAAGACTCTTTTTTCTTAGTTCAGATCTAGCCTCAGAGACTTCCTGACTGTGTGACCCTGGGAAAGTCCCTTAACCCTATTTGCCTCAGTTTCCTCATCTGTAAAATGAGCTGATGAGGGAAGTGGCAAACCACTCCAGGATTTTTGCCAAAAAAGAAACCCAAATGGGATCGTGGAGAGTTAGACTTGGTTGAAATGACTGAACAACAACAACAGCATTTGTATGGTGCCTCTTGCAAAGCACTTTATACATTTTTATCTCTTTGGTCCTCACAACAACCCTTCAAGGTAGGTGATTTTTACAGTTGAGGAAACTGAAACAAACACAGGTTAAGTGACTCTTCTAGGGTCACACAGCTAATAAGTGTCTGAGGTAGGATTCAAATCCTGGTCTTCCGGACGCCAAATCCAGTGCTCTATCCACTAACTGCCTACTGTGTGTCTCTTCCATTGGTGCGTATCACAATCTACCCATGACCTCTCATCCTCTGCAGCTCTTGTCCATAACCTTCCCTGAGTCCCACCGGAAGTCTGCCCAATTTCACATCACGAGGGTACCGGTGCAATGGATGGTCCTTGTCTGCTTCATGGCTGGTCCGCCTCTCTATAGGGAATACCCCTTCAGTTTGTTCTTTGTTCTGAACATCAGCCGTGTCAGTGACAGAGCACCATTGTTTTATGCCTCACTTCATATTAATAATCAGAGGCTCATGGGGCAAAGTTATTCCATTGTTGTTGTGTTAAGGAATCTTTTATGATCTCAGTATACAAGACTCCTTTTAAAAAAAGAGCCTTTTGGAGGAGATCTCAACCAAATAAAATACATGGCACAGTCAATAGAGTGCTAGGCCTGGAATCAGAACTCGGATCAAATATGGCTTCAGATGCTTACTAGCTGTGTGACCCTGGGTAAGTCATTTAACTTCTATTTGCCTGTTATCTGTAAAATAGGGAAACACTGGAGAAAGAAATGGCAAAGCACTCTAGTACCTTTGCTAAGAAAACCTCATGGTTCATGGGGTCATGAAGAGTCAG